GAATGCTAATGTAGTCCTGATGTTCAAAAAGGGTGATAGACAGGAGGCACTGAACTACAGCCACTGTCACTAACATGCATACCATGCAAGGTGATAGAGAAGATTGTACAAAAAAATCTAGTGGAACATCTGGAGCGGAAGAACTTTGTATCACAACATTAGCATGGGGTCAGGGATGGCAAATCATGCCTCACAGGATTAATTGAATTCTATGACCATATTATGGACTAATACTCCACAGCATCGCAGGAAAACATAGCCTGGCCAATAATCAATAAAGTCTAGGGTATTCAAAGGCTAGCAAAAAATATTCCAGTTAACTGGGGGCATATTACATAGGTCCAATGTAAAGGATTTGGGAATAATAATGTCTGGCGACCTAACGTTTAAGGAGCATAACCAAGCAAATATTGCGACAGCCAGAAAAATGATAGGATGGATTACGAGAACTTTCAAATCCAGGGATCCCATCACAATGGTTGTACTCTTCAAGTCACTTGTGTTGTCCCGTCTTGAGTACTGTTCAGTACTCACTTCCCCCTTCAGAGCAGGAGAGATTGCTGAAATAGAGGGAATACAGAGAACATATACGGCACGCATAGATGCAATAAAGCACCTAAATTATTGGGATCGTCTCAAAGCCCTCCAAATGTACTCACTAGAAAGAAGACGAGAGAGATATAAAATAATATACACCTGGAAGATACTGGAGGGCCAAGTACCAAATCTACACAGTAAAATAACAACGTACTGGAGTAAACGATATGGAAGAAAATGTAGAATAGAACCAGTGAAGAGCAGAGGTGCCATAGGCACAATCAGAGAACACTGTATAAACATCAGAGGTCCGCGGTTGTTCAACGTCCTCCCAGCAAGCATAAGAAATATTGCCGGAACAACCGTATACATTTTCAAGAGGAAACTAGATTTATTCCTCCAAGGAGTGCCGGACCAACCGGGCTGTGGTGGGTATGTGGGCCTGCGGGCCGCTCCAAGCAACAGCCTTGTGGACCAAACTCTCACAAGTCAAGCCTGGCCTCGGGCCGGGCTTGGGGAGTAGAAGAACTCCCAGAACCCCATCAACCAGGTCACCTATAAACAATAAAAAACTACAATCTCTATAACTCACATTCTATTACTTTATCCAGCTTCTTTAAGCTTTGCATGATCATCAATAGAACTGAAAACTGCATACACTCAGCACTAGCTGACACCAGGCGCAGTGTCACTCCTGGCACTCCTCTCACTCCTGACACTCCTGGCGCAGTGGGACACTAGCGACTATTATGCTGATAATACCAATACAGGATGGTGATGTCACAAGCATTAACAAGTGAGGTTGAGGAATCAATTATCATACGCATCACTAAAGATCCTCAGGTAACCAACTCAATAATACATATAAAAGCACTACCACCTGGCATAAATGAGGTATATCGGTAGAAATTATCCATGGTAAACCCTACTGCATAATCTTAAATATCCTAGCAGTCAATTAACACAAATAAGGCCGCTAAACCCGGACCGGGGTGACATGCATCCGCCCCACTAGGAAGAGCAAAGTGACTGCTCAGCAGGGTTGCCAGATCCGAATTGCTAAAAGTAGCGAGCTGACGGTCAAAAAGTAGCGAATTTGCAAGTAGAGTAGCCCAATTTTTTGTTTAGTCAAATCGAATCAAATCAAATGTGTATTCAGGTAAAAGTACTGTACATACATACAAGATGAGTTACAAACATAATGTTATATTTCTAGATAGCGACAGTACATACAGACAGACGACATTCAAATTTAGTAAGTTTATCTTCCTTCTTTGATAGAACAGACTTGATGCTCATCTGCTGATGACTTACCTCCGATATATTTTGTCTGTGTTTTAATGTTTCACTGTGTTTCTTTAAACCACTTCTATGAGCTCTTATCTCAGTTCTAAAAACTTTACAATATGCCTTATTTCCATCTTCTTTCACTTCAGCCAACCACTTTTCAAACAAGGGATCCTTAAGCCAGGACATCTGAAACGCTTTCTGGTATTTAGACCACTTCCCCATTTTTCGCTTCTTTATCTTAACACTTAAGCAAATTCTAAAAGTAACAGCGGTAACTTTTCTATATGCGGTAACTTGTGTCGAACTATCCTTCTGGAGGTCAGAGCCACACTAACAATGCAAGCACAGATGAAGCTGCCAAGTTCACTGTATGCTAATCCGCTCTAACGACAGTCATTTGATTCTTGGAAACACCTAAAGAGAAACCTAATATTTACAGTAGGCAACAGTGGGAGGTCACTTAACATAGACAGTACCCGGGATGAAGTATTAATGACAATTAAGGTTAGGAAATCTATAGCCCCTGGGGAGGATTATCTTGCCTTGCGGTTACCTTTTCTTTGGGAAGTTCCTAGGATCAACGTCCCCAGGGGGTCGGTCGCTGACCTGGCCTCTTGCGGTAAGTGGTCTATTCAATCAAGCTGTTGGACGCGGCTGTGATTTGTACACATGACATTATAAAAAGCATAAAAATCATTATTGAGTTTCTTAACATTAATAGCCCAACTTGTTTTTAAAGTAGCCCAAAAAGTCGCAAGTAGCGAAATTAAAAATTTGGGACCGCGGGGCTCTGAAAAGTAGCCCAATTCGCTACTTGTAGCCCAATCTGGCATCCCTGCTGCTCAGGGGCCAGGCAATCCGAGAGCGACACTGATTCCACTTCTTCAAGTCGGCTAATTCTCCTCTTTCAAATATCACAAGCTCATATGCAAACATTTCTCAGTAATTAACTTCCAATTCATACGATAACTAAACAAGGGATATAATACACAACCTTCCATAATAATACATATCAATACATAATAGAATATATCACGATATACAAATAAGTCAACAGGGAATTCATATTAGCAATACATGGTAACACTAGCGGAAAACGGTACGCAAGGGGAGGGGGGGGGGGTTAAGGGAGGATTTAAAGACGTTACCGGTCAGACGTTATACATAAGTATACCTGAAATACAATAGATCATCATATACCGACATAAGTATCAAAAACCTTGACTCTGGTATACTTCTCAGTACTAAAATATAATTTACTGACATGACTAGAGGACAATGCAATGAACAATAATGAAATTTATATTTCACAGTATACATGCTAGTAATACATCAGATACCTATATGTATACATACTACATCATAATACCTATAGCATGTCCTATACAGCAATACATAGCATTCCATACTACAAGCACATAATAGTGTTTTCGAAACTACATGACATTAGGCTTCTGCTATTCACTACACTTCCAACATATCCACAAATACATATATAACTTTTGTACTGAAATATAATATGCATAGGTATATTAGACATACATTGGCAATACACAATTTATACTAGTATATTGTCGAAAGAAGATTAAATAAATATAATAATATCTGTGATACTAGGCTAATCAGCAACGATATCATTATACAGTTTGAACGCATCATACACCAATGGTGTATGACGTATCAGTCAAGAAAGAGAGGGTTGGGCAGACTGCATATTTTTGGATTGCCAGAAAGCCTTTGACACAGTACCACATAAGAGACAGTGCACAAACTGGAGAGGCAGGCAGTAGTGAAAGGGAAGGTACTCCATTGGATAAGGGAGTACCTAAGCAACAGAAGACAGCGAGTCACTGTGAGGGGTGAGTGGCGAGGCGTCACCAGTGGAGTCCCTCAGTGATCAGTTCTTGGACCTATACTGTTCCTGATATAGGTAAATGATCTCCCAGAGGGAATAGACTCATTCCTCTCAATGTTTGCTGATGATGCAAAAATTATGAGGAAGATTAAGACAGAGGAAGATAGTATGAGGCTACAAGATGACCTAAACAAACTGAAGGAATGGGCTAACAAATGGCTACTAAAGTTCAACCCGAGTAAATGTAAGGTAATGAAACTAGGCGGTGGAAACAGGAGGCCTGACACAGGATACAGAATGTGAGATGAAGTATTTCACAAAACGGGCAGAGTAAGATTTAGGGGTTGATATCACACCAAACCTATCTCTTGAAGCCTAAAAAGAATAACGCCGGCGGCGTATGCGAGGCTGGCTAACATCAGAACAGCCTTCAGGAACCTGTGTAAGAAATCATACAAAACCTTGTATACCACATATGCAAGACCAATCCTGGACTATGCGGCCCCAGCATGGAACCCGCACCTTTTCAAGCACAAGACAAAGCTGGAGAAAGTTCAGAGGTATGCCACTAGGCTAGTCCCAGAACTAAAAGGCATGAGTTACGATGAAAGGCTGCGTGAAATGCACCTCACGACACTGGAAGACAGAAGAATAAGGGGGAGACTTGATCACTACCTACAAAATTCTCAGAGGAATTGACAGGGTACATAAAGGTAAACTGTTTAACACGGTTGGTTCGCGAACAAGGTGACACAGGTGGAACTGAATACCCAAATGAGCCACAGAGACGTGAGAAAGAACTTTTTCAGTGTCAGAGTAGTTAACAGGTGGAATGCATTAGTCAGTGATGTGGTGGAGGCTGACTCCATACACAGTTTCAAATGTTGATATGATAGAGCCCAGTAGGCTCAGGAATCTATACACCAGTTGATTGACAGTTGAGAGACGGGACCAAAGAGTCAGAGCTCAACCCCTGCAAGCACAACTATGTGAATACACACACACGCACACAATATCCCGTGGACAGATCGAAACGTCGTGATTTTAATATATAATTTCATATGTGTGTGTTGGGTCACATTATATTGACAAGGTGCGTGTTGTGTGCCTCGCAACACTTGCTTGTATGTTCAGTGAGGACAGTTGCCGTCACCATCTCACACCTCAACATTTCTGTTTTCTATATGCGTGTTCACACTCACTAATACAACTGTAATTAGCATTGCACTTTAATGATTTTCAACACGGAAGAAAAACACAAGGAAACTAGTGAACCAAATTATTTTATATAATAATTAGGCATATTTTATATTTTCAGATCCAAGTGTTGGTGTGAAGAAGTTTTCCTGCAAACAAACTAACTACGTCACCACAACATGCACAGCTGATCTTACCGGGTGTGACACATACAATGGACCAGATATACATTTTAATGTTAGTCTGGAAACTTACTTGCAGTGTTCGAACAAAACTCTGGAGTTTTATAAACTATCGAATATATCAGGTGGAAAATATGTTGCTGAGTTTATGAATTTGCCGGCTGGGATGACCTTTGTGGCAACACTCTCCATCACCAATAATGTTAGCCGGAGGGTGCTTGTGAAGACTACCGTTAACTTTACTACTGCAGAAGAAAGTAAGCAATATATATGAAACTTGACCTATTATTAAGATTTGCCGGCTATTATTTTGACGGTGTGCCTTGCAAAATTATTACAGAAAATTGCATTATCTAAATCGTATTTTTCCAGAACCACCTGAAGTCAGAAACTTTACAGCAAACATCTTGTCATCAAATAAAGTTCGTCTTCTGTGGAATGATCCATGTCCATCAAATGGAGTAATAACTGGTTTCATATATAAGGAAATATCACAGGACAATTGGACACCCATTGGCACCATTGACACAACCCCATGTAGTGCAGGGTATGACCGCTGTGTTGATGTAGACGGCTTGCGAGCCAACACCAACTATGCATTCTGGGTAAGTGTTACGCCTGTCAATCATATCTCTCATCGTGCTGCGACTATCAATCTTATCTCCCTTCGTGCTACATCTGTCACTCATATCTTCCCTCTTACTTCGATTGTCAATCATATCTTCCCTCGTGTTTCAACTGTCAATCATATCTCCCGTCATGCTTCGACTGTCAGTCATATCTCCCGTCATGCTTCGACTGTCAGTCATATCTCCCCTCGTGCTTCGACTGTCAGTCATATCTCCCCTCGTGCTTCGACTGTCAATCATATCTTCCCTCGTGCTTCGACTGTCAGTCATATCTCCCCTCGTGCTTCAACTGTCAATCATATCTCCCCTCGTGCTTCGACTGTCAATCATATCTCCACCACATGACACTATAATATGGCGTCAGTAGTCTGTCTCTGTGAATAAGGTTCTGATGGGTGGGTTTAACTTATTATTTTCATCGCCGAACTCCGACAAAATGCGTTCGTATGTTAGCAAATACAAACCAAGAATAATTTATGAAGAACTTGCAAGAAAATCTCGACCTTCACCACTAACTACCAATGTTGGAATAACTAAACAAATATATTCGTGAAATAATATAGTGAAATAAAGGGAGAAGGTTGTTACATATTCCTATTTAAGGAATATTCACATTAATATAAATATAATAATTATGTTTTATTCTTGCATGAAGGCATGTATATGTTTATATATATTTATAATGCATCGTGTTAGCAACACAGTGGGGACAGGAGCGGGAATTACTAGTCAGGTACTAGACGTGTGAGAGTCGAGTCAAGTTCCCGGTAGGATATAGATTGCTTGTATTGTGTAGTTGCCAGCAGTTTCCTCTTTATTATTTTCCATAAATAATCGTGTTTTATATAAAATACATGACCTCTGTTTATGCATGTAAATGTAATCATTCTTATTTAAGTTATTTTAATGTTTGATTTAGCACAGTATTGTTGTTCATTAAACAAATTAAATTTATTATAAATTTACCATTCGTTATGTTGTGAGGGGGGGGGGGGGGGGGGAGAGCGGCTTCCGACGCAAAGTTGAGTTAGTGGCTGGGAGACGGGCCTCGGGTCAACTGGTTGATTCTTATAAGTGTCTGTTTTGTGTATTTTTTCAGTTTTTGTAGTAGTTGCACAATTGTCTGGCTATACATACGCATTATACATCTTAATAGGTCATCTGATTACTGTTATACATAAAATGAAAGATTAAGTTGATATACATTTTTAATTATTATATAAATCTTTTAAATTATATGTGTGCTAATTCAACCCTAGTAAATATTTTCTACTTATTATGTATGTACGTATCGAGGGGGTACCCTGGTTGAACATAATTAGATACAGATTCACATTTATCACCCTAGACCGTTAACTTCTTGTCTCTCTAAGTTCAACGAGCCGTACGTATAGGTACGTAACAAAGGTAAAAGTATTTACATTTACTTGTAAATTATTATTGGACTTGTTTTTATTATATAATCGTTATCACCATCATTATTATTATTATCACTAGCACCATCACTACTATCATAGTTTACTTTGTAGCTGTACTGTGTTAGAAAAGTTCCAGTATTCTACTGGGCATTTCTCCACAATATTGGCAAAGCAGAAGAGACGAAGTGTCAGCACTGTGGACAAATGTGCTGTAGAATACCGGAACATTAGCTAACACAGCGCACAGTAACATTAAATCACATTACCATTGAGATTGAACAAGCCAGAAGATGTAAAACACATGATATATACAACCTTACTGAACAAACATACTGATCACAACCACTCACCCAGCCCCTGAGCAATATTGACAGGAATAACATATAGCGGACCAGCCATAGGCGTTGGGTCTCTGCAGGAATATATCTGTAAAAAAATCGATATTATTATTATTATTATTGCGATTATCATCACATCATCATCCTTCTTCCTCCTCCTTGTCCTCCTTCGACACTGTAGAAGAAGTAGGAAAAACACCGTGAGGAACTGAATGCTGCGAAAGTAATAGGACCAGACACTCACACCAGCTGCTGATGTACTTTGTTACCCGCTATCTAAACTTTATATAAAATACTCTAGACAGGAAACGGAAAAGACGAACGTAGTCTCACTATTCAAAAAATCTAACAGACCCACTCTATCTCAACCACCATATAGCTATACCACCCACTATAAGCCTATACTCAGCATAACCGTATGCCAGCACCAACAGAGCCACTTTATCCAAACATACACAAAATTACTACCAATACCTCAGTCCCTTTCCGCAACACCCATTAAAACCCAGCCAGCGCTCGTATCCCTCAGGTTAACCACTGTTGGGTCTAGCCAGTAACTAGATGGGTAACCTTCCGGACAGCCTCTTCCTTGGCTTGCGGGGAATCTAGATAATCTTTACAGAATTCCTCTCCCTTAACACTGGCATATTGCAAGCATCAGTAATGCTCTCCCTTAACACTGACATATTACAGGCATCAGTAATGCTCTCCCTTAACACTGGCATATTACAAGCATCAGTAATGCTCTCCCTTAACACTGGCATATTACAAGCATCAGTAATGCTCTCCCTTAACACTGGCATATTACAAGCATCAGTAATGCTCTCCCTTAACACTGACATATTACAAGCATTAGTTATGCTCTCCCTTAACACTGACATATTACAAGCATCAGTAATGCTCTCCCTTAACACTGACATATTACAAGCATCAGTAATGCTCTCCCTTAACACTGGCATATGACAGGCATCAGTAATGCTCTCCTTTAACACTGGCATATTACAGGCATCAGTAATGCTCTCCCTTAACACTGGCATATGACAGGCATCAGTAATGCTCTCCTTTAACACTGGTATATTACAGGATTGAGTGATGAAGATTAAGCCACCCAAAAGGTGGCACGGGCATGAATAGCCCGTAAGTGGTGGCCCTTTAGAGCCATTACCATTCCATTATTATTATTAGCTGATGGAGATCTGTGGAGGTACGACTGCACCCTACGGAGAGGTCGTGACCTCGATATTACAGGCATCAGTAATGCTCGCCCTTAACACTGGTGTATTACAATATTTTTAGGAGATGGTATTATGAAGTTTTCTTTATATATGGTGCAGTCGTGATATTGGTCGGTCACGACTGACAAATATTTCTCAGATATTCCGCGAATTATGGCACTGTGCATAAGCTTAAGGTGATTATGTTACTCTTTCTTTATCATTGTTTATTGTGTCAGGTGTCGGCCATCAACAGTGCTGGAAGAGGCATGAGACAGGAGGTATGGATCGTAACCATGGAAATAAGTAAGTAAAAGTACTATTTTCCCCTCTTACCCACACACCACATGTCTTACCCAGGTGCCCACATGTCTTACCCAGGCGCCCACATGTCTTACCCAGGTGCCCACATGTCTTACCCACACGCCCACATGTCTTACCCAGGTGCCCACATGTCTTACCCACACGCCCACATGTCTTACCCAGGTGCCCACATGTCTTACCCCACACGCCCACATGTCTTACCCACACACCCACATGTCTTACCCACACGCCCACATGTCTTACCCACACACCCACATGTCTTACCCAGGTGCCCACATGTCTTACCCAGGCGCCCACATGTCTTACCCAGGTGCCCACATGTCTTACCCACACGCCCACATGTCTTACCTAGGTGCCCACATGTCTTACCCACACGCCCACATGTCTTACCCACACGCCCACATGTCTTACCCACACGCCGACATGTCTTACCCAGGTGCCCACATGTCTTACCCACACGCCCACATGTCTTACCCACACGCCCACATGTCTTACCCAGGTGCCCACATGTCTTACCCACACACCCACATGTCTTACCCAGGTGCCCACATGTCTTACCCACACGCCCACATGTCTTACCCACACACCCACATGTCTTACCCACACGCCCACATGTCTTACCCAGGTGCCCACATGTCTTACCCAGGTGCCCACATGTCTTACCCACACGCCCACATGTCTTACCCACACGCCCACATGTCTTACCCACACGCCCACATGTCTTACCCACACACCCACATGTCTTACCCACACGCCCACATGTCTTACCCACACGCCCACATGTCTTACCCACACGCCCACATGTCTTACCCACACACCCACATGTCTTACCCACACGCCCACATGTCTTACCCACACGCCCACATGTCTTACCCACACGCCCACATGTCTTACCCACACGCCCACATGTCTTACCCACACACCCACATGTCTTACCCACACGCCCACATGTCTTACCCACACGCCCACATGTCTTACCCACACACCCACATGTCTTACCCACACGCCCACATGTCTTACCCAGGCGCCAACATGTCTTACCCACACACCCACATGTCTTATCCACACGCCCACATGTCTTACCCCACACGCCCACATGTCTTACCCAGGCGCCCACATGTCTTACCCCACACGCCCACATGTCTTACCCAGGCGCCCACATGTCTTACCCACACGCCCACATGTCTTACCCCACACGCCCACATGTCTTACCCACACGCCCACATGTCTTACCCACACGCCCACATGTCTTACCCCACACGCCCACATGTCTTACCCTCACGCCCACATGTCTTACCCCACACGCCCACATGTCTTACCCAGGCGCCCATATGTCTTACCCAGGCGCCCACATGTCTTACCCACACGCCCACAAGCCTTACCCCACACGCCCACATGTCTTACCCAGGCGCCAACATGTCTCAACACAAAACACTTCTGGAGTGAACAGTTGTCCAGGGGCTGCAACATGCACACTTGACTACACAATCACCAGCAGTACTGTCATTAGTATTAGGCTGCCAGAGCTCACCACCAAGACTCCGGTGCTCCTCTCAGCTACACACCTGAGAGGACACACCTGTAGTAGCTACTCAGCTACACACCCATAATATTTATAATATCTATACTCGTATAACAACTGTAGGAGGACGGATAGTCTTGTATCTAAGAATTCTTTAATACTCTACGTTTATGTAACGGGCATCATCAGAATTATGATAACAAAAATTTTCGCAATTATATATTAATAGTTTAAAAGAAATGACATTTTACCAATACACTATACAACTAATTTAGGTAAAAATTACTTTAAAACAATAATGGTTAAAGTCAACGTTTTTGTAATTGGTTGATTCTTAGGAAGAGAACCAAATATAAATAATTTATTCTATTATAAGAACTAATCTGCAAGTTCCTGGGAAAACAAACCAATATTAATATTGTGTGAGAAAGTTTGGGGAGGCAGGACAGTGGTACACCGTTGTGAAGGAGAGTCCAGAGTGGACTCATACTGTACACATTTGCAGCCTTGGTAGCTACCATCACCATACCATTATTGTGTGGGGTACGGTCCACATGTTTCTCCCTCCTCTCAAGGAGTGATATTGCCAGGTTTATTACCTGCCAATATCTCTCTATATTGCATATAGATTGCTTATATGATCTATATTATCTTACGCAGTTGTCACTGTTATTATGACCTATTACTCTGGGAGCCTTCATATTTAATCCAAAACTGATATTAAGCTTAATTCAAGTGTTTAGTTTAAGATTATATGCTAATGTGTATTGTTTAAGATAATATTCACTATGGTAACAATAATTTGTTCACACTAAGATATAATTTGTATTTCTTCCAAAATTATAAATGTAAAGATCATGCTCACTTTGCCTTTATTTCCCCTAAATTCTACTACATTGTTATAACCAAAGAGATTTCCTCCAGAGCCGGGACCCCCACAGCAACTTGATGTGGTTCCTCATGATAGCAGTTTAGACTTGCAACTCATGCAACCGCACCTGTGTGGCGGGATTTTACACAATTTCACCATACAGCTGAAGAACAAGACAATCCTTGTAGACAACTGCACCAAGGATGCTCCTGACCCTACTTGCTCCAAAGATGCGAAGACAATACCTGCTGAACGTCTTACCTGCCAGGTAAACACAACCAACACTTGTGTGATGAAACATTTTGTGCAACGCTTCAAACTTGATTATCCCCAGTACACTGGTCACCATCACCAGTACACTGGTCACCCAGCACCAGTACACTAGTCACCATCACCAGTACACTGGTCACCCGGCACCAGTACACTGGTCACCATCACCAGTACACTGGTCACCCAGCACCAGTACACTAGTCACCATCACCAGTACACTGGTCACCCGGCACCAGTACACTGGTCACCATCACCAGTACACTGGTCACCCGGCACCAGTACACTGGTCACCCAGCACCAGTACACTGGTCACCCACACCCAGCACCAGTACACTGGTCACCCACACCCACCCAGTACACTGGTCACCCACACCCAGCACACTGGTCACCCACACCCAGTACACTGGTCACCCACACCCAGCACCAGTACACTGGTCACCCACACCCAGCACCAGTACACTGGTCACCCACACCCAGCACCAGTACACTGGTCACCCACACCCAGCACCAGTACACTGGTCACCCACACCCAGCACCAGTACACTGGTCACCCACACCCAGCACCAGTACACTGATCACCCAGCACCAGTACACTGGTCACCCACACCCAGCACCAGTACACTGATCACCCAGCACCAGTACACTGGTCACCCACACCCAGCACCAGTACACTGGTCACCCACACCCAGCACCAGTACACTGGTCACCCACACCCAGCACCAGTACAGGTCACCCACACCCAGGTACACTGATCACAGCACCAGTACACTGGTCAGTACACTGGTCACCCACACCCAGCACCAGTACACTGGTCACCCAGCACCAGTACACTGGTCACCCTCACCCAGCACCAGTACACTGGTCACCCAGCACCAGTACACTGTACACTGGTCACCCACACCCAGCACCAGTACACTGGTCACCCACACCCAGCACCAGTACACTGGTCACCCACACCCAGCACCAGTACACTGGTCACCCACCCAGCACCAGTACACTGGTCACCCACACCCAGCACCAGTACACTGGTCACCCACACCCAGCACAGTACACTGGTCACCCACACCCAGCACCAGTACACTGGTCACCCACACCCAGCACCAGTACACTGGTTGTAACGACCGCTTACCCTGTTAATAATAACCGCGGCCTCTATTGTAATAACCCAATGTTCCCCAGTATTAATCCTGTTATCGTGTTATCTCTCGTGATCGTACTATACGCTCTCTGTTGTACATCTCTGTCTCTCTCCACTCAATACCCCAGCTTAACACTGTTACAGTCCAGTATGACCCCTCACTGGACTGCCACGTATGTAAGAGGAATATTAAATGAGGAAGATACACCAAGGACAAGGGTTATTAGTTAAAAAAAAAACAATAACAAAACACATTTACACTGCCACCACCTTTCTGACCAACCATACCTGAATGTGTCAATCACCGATCCCCCAGGAAGGCAAGGAATCAGTAACCATGGGACTCCGGGTAATATGAACTTCAGAAATAAATTTTGGAAAATTAGTTTGTGTAATTTACGTTACTAATTTAAATCCAAGGGCAACTTTAGTATCTATTAATAGTAGGAGAACATGGGGGCTTCCAATACAACACCTAAAAATGACAAAGTAGCAAAATATATCAAAGGGGAGTTAAGTGAATACCACTGGACAAGCTATACAATTTATTTTATGAAACATGTAAATTAAGACAATTTGAACACATCACCTATTCTATTTCCCTAGAGGCACAATGGATATTTACCGAGGACACAAAACTCAAGTGCACTATACCTTAAATACCCGCACCACGGCCAAGATGTTGATGGCTGCCCTCAGCCCCGAGGATACGGGCTTGCGGCCCTGTTCCTAATACACTCCCAAGACACACTGATGAAATTTAGTTTTTCCAACTTATTGCTGGGAAGGATTGCTCCTCCCACCATCTAATACAGCCCCAGGGCTCCACCCATTATTTTGGCCCTGGCCAACCATTTAACACGTAGGCCTGAGGTCTGGCTCTCTAGGGCCAATAAGGACTTGGCCCTTATCTCAGGCCAATCACCTTCACTGATCTGTCGTGGAAAGCTACATGAATTCCTGAAGATTGAGTCAGCTCTCCCCAGCTAAAGAGAATGGGGACAAGGCGCGTCTATGGAGCCCAGGCACCTGCGAGCAATGTTTACAAAACTGATAATTTATGTTCAAGCCTGTCTCCTCTAAGATAGGAGTAGGGACATTTGACTCTGCCTGGTATGGGGAAGGCCGCTGCTGAGAGGGACAGAGAGGGATGAGAGGGGGTGGAGAGGGAAATATCTGAGTGGGGAAGTTGAGTGGGAGAAGCCAAGGTATCCACGACCACCCTACCCTCAGGTCAACCTCTTGACCCTGACAAATGGGCGACAGGGGGGGGGGGGAGAGGAGGAGACGAATGACGGCCAAGGGGAGGGGAGAAGGAAGGAGGGGAGAGGGAGAAGGAAAGGAGGGGAGAAGGGGAGGGAAAAGAGGGGAGAAGGGAGAACCAATGATCTGAGCCCCAGATCATTACAACTCCCCCTCCTCGGAAATTAAGAAATTTGTGTGTAAAGCAAGTTACACACACTTTTCTTATCCAGAAATCCTGCCCTACCCTAACCATTAACTCCAAAAACAACATTTTTAACCCAACACTATTTTAAACCAATGCCTCAAAACAAAAGAAATTATCTAATCCTAACTAATTCCATCCAATACTCCAACAACAATAATGGCACACCCAAAAGGTGTGCCCCAGCATGTATTTATACCTATCAACACAACAGTAATAATACATAAAACATAAGGACAGAGACCGTCCCTATAATCCTGGCTGTCCACTTGGATGCAGCCCCGTACCCTTCCAACTACCTGGAAGACAAAATATCCTATACCTGTCTTGATATAGTAACAAATAACTGGAGAAATCCCAACCTAACAATTACTAACTAGCTAAAATCAGCTGATAGCCTTCAGCTATCCCAGTATTCCACCTGGAATAAAGATCAAACACATCACACAACACATTAAAAAAAATCAATGTCATTAAAAAATAACAAAATTATAAAATTATATCAACATGGAAGAACACTACCTCTCAGGGACCTAGTGTTCCACTCCACACCTGTGGCAACTGTCCACCACAGCGCATCCCAATCTTAAAATCTAAAGAAAAGACACAGAAATATTTTTATTATTAAAAAAAATCAATGTCCACAGACATGTCCCTTAACCAACAACAACACTCTGGATATAAGTTCCTCAAACTCCTAATATCCCAGAGTTCATATTCAAGTCCACAACAACAGCGGGTGAACACATTTGTCAGACTGTGTACCACACCCTTATTGTTCAGTAAACCACAAAAAAAAATTAAAAAAAAATATATATGTATAACTATCAGTATCTAGGATCTAGAAAAATCTAGATAAAGTTCCCCACTGATCAACGTTTCTAGAGACCCTACTAGATGGTTCTCAAACCAGTTTACTCATACAACTTATCTAGAGACAGGGTCATTTTCTAATGTTCACTTTCTAGATTTATTTCTCTATTTCACTAGTTCTAGTTTTCAACATTTAATACTGTTCCAGAGAACTTTCCGAAGGTGTATAGGTGCTTACTATCAGATGGAAAATTAAAAGTTGAACTGTTCCGAGTTACCACAGTTTACTATATTAATAGCGTTTATTTTTATATGAAACTTTTCTATAAATATTTTCTCTCGTTCGTTCCTGTTGACATTTCGTTGCTGTAGATTCCGGCGACTACCTCATGTTGCTTGAAGATCCTGGTCGTCTGGAAGTTCCATTTCCGGCCTCGGCCAACTACGGACAGTACAGGGGGTCTCGTACTACCCGCACCTGACTTGAGTGACAGCTGACAGCTGGCGGCGGTCAGCTCAGGTGGACCCCGCTAACAGGAACCCGGGTTCACCTCTTCTTATCGCTCCCCAAACAGTCTTGATGGATTGTTGTTAACCATGGCTGCCACAGTAGAGCACAACTTCGACGTATCACGATGTCTCGCGTTGGTAGTGAGGTTCGAGTGGCGTTGAAGAGGATGGCATGGTGACAGGACAGGTGGGCCCTGCCTCAGCTCCTGGGCGACGTCATCTACCGGCGTTTACTTGTTATCCCGGTACTACTGGGCCGGTACACCTTCCGTGCAACCCCTCGTGTAGCTGAACTTGGGCCGAGGTACAGGATTGTACCTCATCTGGCGATTCCGCAAGCACTCTGTAGGGGTAGTGCTGTTCGTACCTGAGACCACCGCGTTGCATCTTGGTTTCCACAGACGACGCAACCACAGGTTTTGAGAAGAGCTGACAAGTCCTTGCAATTAGCGTTCTTCTTCGTAGACCACTCGTCTTCCACTTCCGGTTTTCCCGCAGTCTTGACTACGCGGCTGGTGGGCGTGGTTGGTGACCTTGAGACAGCTAGCCCACGGTTGTGATGGTGACTGGACTCTGCTCCGTGATGACAGCATGGCTGGACTGGGACAACCTCGTTAGTGACGTGAGGTGTCGGCCGGGTGACTGTACGCCAGTCACCCCTTCCGGATAACCAATTGACGAGTTACCGGGTACAAGGGGGAGGACTTTATGTAACGTGCCTCAGACCCCGATCTTATCAGCCAGGTGGGTCATCCCCAGACCTGCTGATCTCGATCCTTGGTTCACGTGTGACTGGGAGGCTGGAACTGGTGTACCATCAGACCTGAGAAAGACAGACAACAACAAATGGCGGAAGCATGGATATTACTCTGAGGTATAGGAAGTTGGAAACCCCAGAGCAAGGCAAGTATGCTACCTGAGCCATGCACATCAGTAAATACACACCAGTGCCTCTACAGGATAATTATTATGAAATTACTAAACCTGACTAGGGGAGATCATTACCAATTTACTGTACAGCTCGCGACCTTGTTACCATAGGGTGACAAGATTGAACTTGACTACTGATGAGATCTGACAGAAGGTCATC